GTTAATTTCGGTTTTCTAGAACGTAGCCGCTATATCCTTGAAATAGCTCCTCATTTATCTTCACGAGGCTGAGTGGACCCAGTTCCAGACCCACTACTTCTCAGAAAATCTGGTAGCGCCGGGAATCGAACCCGGGACCTCTGGCTCTGTAGCCAGGAACTCAGACCACTGGACCACAGAGGCGGTCATTAGATCTCAACATTTAAAAAAAGGAGTTCTAGATCTTAATAGGATCTTTTTTATAATGCGTACAAATTTCTATACGCGAAGTTGTTTTTGAAAGGAACGTAGTTAAGATCTAAAAGTTTGTGACGATGGTATATTGCTACAATGATTATGTTTCTGGACATTATCTATCGTCTTGTCTATTTTTTAAAAAACCGTCATGTTTCCTTTTCAAAACACAACGTTTCAGAGCCTAGATTCTGTCCCCGTCCTCAGGTGAAACCTTCTCACTTGGGTCCAATAGATAAGGGCTAGCTCTGTCTATTGGACCCAACTGAGTAGGTTTTACCTGAGGACGGGGACAGAATCCAGTCCCCGAAACGTTGTGTTTTTTAAAAAAATGACTTCTTTTTAAATAAACAAGACGATGGATAATGTCCAAAAACATAATCCTTGTAATGAAGTAAGTCTTGACGTAAAATTTATCGTTTTTGGACCTATTCCGACCAAAATTAATCGCACCGAAGTAATTTACTGTAGCCCCCCAAATGAAGCTCATCGAAGCCCACTGAGTAGTTTCGAAGACGAAAATATGGTGCCTTATGCACAGACGGACGCTGCATTCCCCGTGCCCTGTACGTACCTGTACCTGCACCTGCCTGTTACAAAGAGCGTACAAGAACAGAACATTTCCGTTCTTGGAAGTTACATAACCATGTGTGTTCTTGTGACCGGTCCGCCGTTTAGTATTCCAAACATGGCGGCGTCGAAATGCGCGGAGCAAGACACAAGTGTTCGCCTGCTATTGTTTTCATGCTATGCTTGTACAGGAACTGCTGTGAGGATAAGACGCATGTCACCTGCTCTAACCCTAGTTCACTCCGAGGTTGCTTCTGTACAAGGTAATCCCCACTGTGTATACCGCTGGCCCTTGGGAACCTATCATTAAGCGGGATTAACTAGGCTGAACTCGGTTACAATTGGTCAAGGGGTTCAGGATGCTGCAAGTTGCCGGCTAAGTTGAGAAGATTAATGGAGAGGTTGTGTCTTTCTGTTACTGCAGTGGAGTGAGTTATTTGGACCTGCGTAGCAGACGGATTCAAGAGCAACGTCCCCTGTTTTGCTGGAGTCTTTAGTCTGGTCCAGCAAGACTGCAACAAATGTGGATGTTTAAAGGAGCTGTACGTCTATCATATGAGATGTACCGGTATACTCCCACGGCGCCTACTGAGCTTGTTGTCTGCTCCTCACATTTGAGGATGTTTTTAGCTTCCTAGCCGGAAGGTCGGGGGATCGATTCCCGATGAGGTGGATTTTTTCAATTTACTTAATCCTTTCATCCGCACCATGGCCCTGGGGTCGAATCAGCCTCTAAAAGAAATTACTACGATGGATATTCCTGGGGGTAAAGGTCGGTCGGCGCGTAAGGCTGGTAACCTCACCGCCATCTGTGAGCCGACAGTCTAGAAAATGTGAGAACATGGACTTTTCACTACCCTATTGGCCTCCACGACCTGTTACAGTAATAGCTTTACTTACTTACTTACTTACTTAGATATCACATTCCAATATCACCTGCCTTGTTATATGGGTGTGGAATTTTCGGTATCAGGTAGCGACATGGATTCGAGCTGATGTGGCAATGAAGTGAGTGACATGTAATGCATACGTAATTTTGCTTGGAAAATCTCTTGAAAACCTTGCGTTTGGAAGACTGAGAATCAGATTGGAGGATATCATTGAATCTTTGAAGCCTGAAGTTCATCTAAATCACAGAAATACGTTGCGTTTTCATTATAAAGATCAACTGGTTAATGGTGTTTAGGGACGTGGTTAGTTAGTTAGTTAGTTATTGGAGAGGGTGGGTTTCCCCATGCACTTAGACCAGTATTGGTCCATTGTGCTTCCCTCTATGATATTCTACCAGTCCTGGAGGACTTGTTCCCTGAATTTTTCCTCCCTTAAAAATTCGACGACTTCCGCCGGGTATGTGAACCCGCGTACCACGAATCATGAGGTGGGAACGTTACCTCTAGACTACGGAGGCCGCTTTAGGGAAGTGGTTGATGTTTATTATGAGAATCGTAAGAGATCCATTAACACGCACTGTGGACGAAGTAAACGGTAAAGGTAAAAAAAGGTAAAGCTATCCCTCTAACAAGCCGTGAAGGACCATAGGGTTGTGAGATGTCGAGGCTCCCACATTTTCTGGACAATCGGCTCACACATATGGCGGTAAGGTTGTCAGCCTAACCGCGCCGGTCGCCCTTTACGCCCTAGGAAGTTTCCTCGATACCTGTTGACAGGACTGAAATGGAGTTTGGTGAGGGTCGACGCCGTTTGCATACTTCTGGAGCCTTTTCTTTTAAGGAAGCTCTTTGCACTTGCATATCAGTCGCAGCTACAGTTCATGGAGGAACGAATTCCTGAACCGTTGCTCAAGTAATTTCCTTTTGTAACAATACCCAGGCCTTTCTACCAGCCTGGGGCGTCTGGTTCTGAAGAACAAATTCCATTCCTGTCTATTGGGTCGGAGGCTGGCGGGCCTCAGGATCTCTTTTTGGATGTGGTATTGGAAAAAGAAAACCTACTCTTTATTGAACCCCGATCCCTGGAGGAGATTCTAACTGGGTATAATTTCTGGATGTATCGTAATTTCATTTCATAAGGAAGACGCTGCAAACAAATTTCCACATATTGACAAAAGTGTATGTGCGTACTGAGTCGGGCCTTGCCATGTTTTGGCCTCAGCATTTACCGCGATTAAAGCTGAATAACAGTTATGTATCCACTCATGCTTCAGTTACACACACTGAGCTTCATTAAATGCTGAAGAATCTACAGATAACGTCACTGAAAGGAGATACTTCAGGTTCAGAATCATGTTGCCATATAGTTGTATCGTGTTTTCATGCCATGAATGGAAGGAAAGCTTTGAGTACGACCATCCCCCTTGTTACTGCCTCTCCCAGCAAGTGGCTTATGATATTACCTCAAAGAGTAGGACTGGCTGTTTTATCTGCAACAAAAGAAGAGAGACATTCTGGAGGAATTAAGCATTAAAAATAAACAAGGCACTTTCTTTCCCCTCATCACCCTCATTCCGTTTCCTGGGGCCTTTGTAATTTTTATGTTTCATTGTAAGTAGGATCTCGTTTTCCGCTTTCTGGTTTATTAAAAACTGAAATGAGTATGGAAAGGGCTTTTCCAAGTGTGCCAGTCCTTCTTTGTATGTTCGTTATATTTCAACTCCCGTTGCAAGACTAATGAACTCAAAGTAGACTCTTGTGAACATGGTAATAAGCCTTTAGGGTGCGTAAAAGGACGAGAATTTCTTGACTGGCTGAGAAGCTGTTAGCTTCTCGAAAAGAATGTGCCCATTGGAGTTAACAGACACAGAAATGAAGTACACCCCTTGGTTATTACTTCATCATTCCGTTATTGTTTGTGCTTGATTTATTAATTGAATAATTGAACGAAGGACAAAATGGAGAGGCCATGTGATGGCTTTAGTGTGATAGGTTGAAGTTTCTGTGTCAGTAAGATGTTCCAGTGTCGGTTGGGGTCCCATGCCATCTTCAAAATGAAGAGGAGGCCTGTTGATAGCTCCAGACAAAGACTGTGCAGATCACTGTGGCCACAAGATAGTAGGTCACATGCAGGGGTAGTAATATGTCGCATGGGGTAAGAGAATTCTCCAGTGATTTATCTTGCAATCATAATATTGCAGAAGTATTCCAGGACATACACGTGATTCATAGCATACAATAGAATGTGTTAGCAAATACGTGTACAATGCAGTGATGCCCTTTATGTCCATATAAGAGAGTGTTAACAGTGTACCTAGAACAAATGAATGAAGAGCCTGGGTGCAAACGTACCTGTGCCCCTCTTTCTCCACCATCACCATGAGATAACACAGAATTGTGCAATTTTGTATTCTTCTCAGCATTTATCACTCATCACATAATTTCTGCTTAAGCATGCACTAGACCAGCTGTTCTCTTAGAGAGGAAGGATGGCGTGGTATGGACTGGATCGATCTGGCAGGATAGGGACCATTGGAGGGCTCTTGTAAACATGGTATGGAACCTTTGGGTTTCATAAAATATTGGGAAATTCTTGAGTAGCCGCCAGCTGGTAGCTTCTCAAGAAGGGCCCAGCTCCATGGAGCTGTTCTGGAAAAAATATCCGTGACTGTATTAGGATGTCATGTGTTCGTATCAAAATACATAATCACTGGGCTGCCAGAAAAATTTAAGGGTTGAGTACATGGTGAAATGAAAGATATCAAAAGATTGCAGTGCAGTTTCATAGATCCTCAAATGAAATTATTAATTATAATTTTTGTACAAGCCATCAGACTGGTTGATCATACTGGATAGTTTCTTCTCTAGACCACTATCTGTGTTTATGCAAATTTTGATAAACTTACTTAATCTCTAAGTTCTACCATTCACGGGATTTACTGATTAATTTTTTATATTAAATAACAGGCCAGGATTTATAAAAATCTACTATATTATTTTATGTTTTATTTTTAAAACTAAATGTAGTGGCAGAGTTAAACACAAAAATAACACCCTCTCAGCACGGAACTTATATGCTGACTACTGGACAACTCCCACATCAATGGTGCTACCACTGAAGGGAAAAGAGTGGGAGGGAAGAGAGGGGAGAATTTGTCAGTATGAGGACAATCACTCTAATGAAGATAATATTAAAGCTGACCCTTCAGACTATTACTGATATAACTGCGTTGTATGTTAATTATGTCCTAAAGCAAGGATAGCTGGATCAATGACATGATACAGTGCTGTTTAAAATGGTTGCAGGAGTGCTGGAGTTTCTGCTGAGATGGACTCTACTGGGTCTGTAGCTGCTGTGGAGGCAGCACTAGACAGGCTCAACAAGCAGCGTGAAGAGCTGGAGGAACTCTGGTCTACCCGAAAACTGAAACTAGACTTGTGCCTGAGGTTACGATTGTTTGAGCGAGATGCCTTGGAAGTGTCATCACAGCTGGAACTATGGTCAGAGGAGCTACAGCATACTGAGCTGAGTCGTGACACTCAGAAGGCAGAACAATTGTTGAGACTTCACAGTGAGAGCGTCTCTCATATGCAGAACACTACATTCCAAGTTCTGCAGCAAGGTCAGGAGCTTGCTCAGGTCAGTTATCATAACCATATTCGTGCTTTGCATGAGATCGTATTAGCATCACTGTTTGGTCTCTTCTGCTTACATGGATTAGAACTGTTCCATCTGGAATTTTTGGCTGTACCTAGAATCTTCTTTTGGCTGTATTGATAGACAGCTTCAAGATTTGACTTTTCGACTTTCCTTCTAGGTATTATAGTCATATCTTTTGATAATTTTTTATAATTTGTTTGAACTTTCTAAATACAAATATTCTCATTTTATTTGTGAGCTGCCATTTTATGTCATTTGGATCTGTAAAACGAGTTTCTGTTCTCTTCGTTCACCTAATTTATTTCTCTAATATCCTGCATTCCGATCCATATATAAGCATAGGTATAGTTATTTTCTTTAGCATTTCAGTAAGGATTATTTCAGGAATTTATATTTTAGACAGAAATTTGGAAGTTTTTAGTTTTGTTTTATTTGGTGTTTGATAAGAGAGAAGTCCATCCTCTTGTCTCTTAGCAGTTAAAGTTAGCTTTGATTTTTAATCAATATAAATTTTACCTTAGCTGTGGAAATAATACTAGAAGATTGTTGTTTACTAATAATTAAGTATGGAATGGGTAGATGCCCTTTATGCTCTCAGTTATCTGAAATACCAAAATCTATCCAGAAGAATTACCTGAAACAGCGGTAGACAAAATTCCTCATCAGCGTTATGTACATCAAATTTAATTTTACCAAATTTATTAGAACACAGAAAGAAATATATATATTGTGTAATGTATGTTCTGCATTAGTGTATTTATATTAAATTAAATTCAAGGAGTAGTTTTATTTGTCACTTAATGAGAATTGAGATAAAGAAGTCAGTGATTGCATCAGCTTTAAAATTAACTTTTCTTAATGGCACTTTATTTAATGGAAAGATTACAAAACTTTCCCAGCAGAAAATATAAGTTGAAGATTACCATTTGGAGAATTAAAATACAGTGTAATAAAAGATATACAAAGTAAGACTGTGGTAGAAAAATCGCAAGTTTCGACATTTATGATATAAACAATAGTAATTCAATATGATCCTGAGCCAGATCCATTCTCCTACCTTCAATATACCTACCTACCTACCTTCAATGTAAATAGAGAATGATGTAAAATTAAGTTATATTAATTTTTAAGCTAAAATTGCCTGTACTTATGTATGTAACCTTTTGACTTGTTCTGTATCCAAAGGTACTAACCTGCTTAGGATTTATAGAATGTAAATAAATTCAGTTCAATTCAAATCAATGTCACATCTTCGTAGTATTACAAGTACTGTTTTACATGAGGGTACTATACCAAAATTACGTACACATTCGTTGTCTTGACCATTCAAGATGTGCCAGCCCACCATAGCCTACTTGATTTTATTATCCCTTCAGTACTAGATGACATAATTTGTTTATTAACTATATTGGTTTTAAATTATGTTTTCTTTTCTTCAGAAAATACTTAGATATTATTAATGCTATTTGTTTATTCTCTAGACACATGTTATATTATTTTAATTAATGTTTTTGTTTAAAATTATCTTCTCCTATTTTTAAAAAGTAGTTAAAATCATTAGTATTATTTTTATATTTTCTTGCAGTCATTATTGTTTAATTGTTTTTGTTGTAGTTGTAAATCGTATTTGCATTGTATTCATTTCGTGTAGTGTGTCCTTTATTGGTTGTGTAGTTTTGTGTGTTTTTTTTTATTGAAGAATGTTTTGTGTGTTGTGTCTTATTGTAGTATCACTGCCAGTCTTTTTATTATTCAGATCTTTGTTGATACAGATACAAGGGAAAATTTCTTTTATTCCTATACTGAAGTATGGAACTTAAAGTCATGAAATAACTGACCCTGGTGTCTGTACTTTTCAGTGTTTCATTTTAAATTGATATGTATTTGTAACTGTGATGCATTTCACTTCGCTCATAACTGTTTATCTGTTTAGTAGCATTAAAAAATGGAGAATAATGATAAATTAAAAAAGTGTTATTTTAAAATTGTTTCAGGCATTTGAGACATCAGGAATGTCTGTGATGGCAGATAGCCAGTATTCTGCACAGACACGTGTTCAGGTGCTGTTAGAATTCCTACATGAGAGAGAGATGGACTTGGAGGACCTGGCTGAGATGAAACGTGTTAAATTGGAGCAGTGTGTCCAACTGTGCCAATTTCAAAATGATGCAAACCAGGTAAGAGACTGCCCTGGAATTGGTGATTGCACTTCTTGAGAAGGAATCTTAACTAAACGCTGAAGAGACTCGTATAAACATAATAAATTTTGTGGATTTGGGGTCTCAGTGCCATGACTGTGCAGACTGTGTCTTTTGGGTTCTTAAGCCTGTGCAGGTCCTAGAGAATGTGACATTTTGCAGGCTCATATTGCCTCCACCTTCAGGTTCATAGAATAAGGTAGGCCGCACACTGGCATGCGCCAAGACATGGAACAGTCAAGACACGATGTCTGTGACATGACGCAAAGAAAGGAGCACAGTTAAAACGAATGAGATCATTAAAACCGCTGCGCACAGGTCTGAGTCATGATGCTGATGTCAGCTACATGCTGATGAATCACGAATGAAGGAAGACTACGTTTTGTGTCTCATGTCTTGATGCTTGTCTTGTCACATTTGGTGTGTGACCACCCTAAGTTAAGCAAGTAACCAGCAGAAGCAGGTGGCAGCCCTGAACTACATGACACTACAACCCAGAAGACTGTGCTGTCTATATCAAATTTTGCTGAGAAACTCTTGCAGAAGCTGCAACTTTAAAGAATGTTTAAAAGTAGTATTAGACTGGAGTAGTTCCATTGGTTAATTATCTGGCATAGTTTCCCTTTGTTCCATTTGGTTTTACTGTTTCTGCTGTACACAGTTTAGTTTCTTAACAGAAGTTGCTATGGCCTTTCATAAACTGACTTCTGTTTTCACACCATATCACATATTTTCCTTCATGTACCTAAATTCCGTGGCTGTCACTCACAGTAGCTCCACCAAGATGGAATCAGTCAAGACAGATGTATGAATCATAAATCTCTCTTAGACTGTCAATCACTGGAAATTCCTTTTTGTAAAAGTTGGTTCAAATATGACCGGGACTGATTTTTTTTTAAAACCCATAATTTCCAAACACTTACTTGCACATGTCAGTCTTCAATGTACTCCCCTCTAGTGCCAACACATTTTTTTCAATGTTCTGGAAGCATCCTGTTGCCCTTTTCAAAGAAGGCTAGTGGTTGGCTGTGTATCGACTCCCAAGCAGTCTGGATGACGGTGTCATTGTCCAGAAACCGCATGCCTTGCAAGTCTGATTTGAGCCTTTTGAACAGGTAGAAATCACTTGGAGCCAGATCGGGACTGTATGGCGGATGTGTCAGAAGGTTCCATTTCAATTTCCAGAATTGTTGTTTTGGCTGTATGGGTGCATGCATTGCCTTGAAGGATGGCTACCCGCTTTCCACCTGTCTTCTGCTAGAACATTGCCATCACTTTTCCTGCCGAACGGCTCCTCTGCGCTCTCTTCAGTTTGGGAGAACCGGTATGCCGCCACTCGAGTGATGACTGCTGGAACTCAGAAATGAAGTAGTGCATCCACGTTTCATCGGTGGTCACTGTAGACTTCAAAAATGCATCACCTTCATCTTCAGACATGCTGTAGGAGATGACTTTCAGCTTGCATGCGCACCATTTTGTTCATGTCCGTCAAAAGTACGTGGTACCCACCATGCATTCACCTTGCAATAGTTCAGGTGGTATTTCACAATGTCTTCTACACTACCAACACTGATGGACAGTATTGCTCCAAGTTCCTTGATGCTGATGTGCCTGTTCTCACGAATAAGCGCGTCTGCACGATCAATGTTTGGCCTGATGACGGATGTTCGTGGCCGACGATCATGCGGTTCATTCTCCATGCGCTCTCTGACCTCTCTGAAGCACTTACACCACTCAAACACATGGGTCCATGAGAGACACCCTTTCCCATACTGTTGTTGGAGTCTATGGTGAATTTCAGCGGACAGGACATTTTCTCCAATGAAGTATTTGATCACAATGTGTTGTTCCACGCTCTGCGGTACCTTCTCTTCGCTCATCACTCTAGCAACTCCCGGACAGGACTGAACAGGTTCTAACTCGAACAGGAGGGAGGGTGGAGGTTGTGGCTTCACTCTCTCAAGGTCTCACAGCTGCTGGGCAATGCAGCTTGTTTACACACAAATCAGTCCCTGTCATATTTGAACCACCTTGTATTAAAGGCATGCCAATAGCACCACATTGAATATTTAATCATAGAAATTGTATTATTCCTTTCACATCGAAGCTGACTGCCACCTGCTCCAGATACGGTTGTGCAGAATTAAAAATACACAACATTTGATATTGGGAAATATAAAACTCCAGCCATATCTTGTTCCTATATGCAAACTACTAAAAGGGGTGTTAAAGACTAGGATATAGATATGATCATAATGTGGCAGCACATTCCTGAAATTTGTGACAAAATGATGGACTTGTATGGGAAAAAGTAGGAAGTCAGAAGCCTTCCAGCAGAAGAAAGAAAGAGGTTAATACATTTACTGCAGGACAGATTTAATTGGAAATCTACCCTCGATGTCACCTGTTTTGTTATCTTGGATAGTTATACACTTAAAACTGATTTTATGAATCTAAAAGTGATCTAAGAGATGTAACTGTTCTCTTACTCGCCCTTACTTCGGGCTCCACTNATTAGAGTAACAAAATCAAGGAGTGTAATGTGAATAGGGCACAGGGCATGGATGTAAGCTATGGGAATCCATGCATAATTTTACCCTGAACATCTGAAGGGAAGAGATCATTTGACAGACTGAGGCATAGATCAGATGTAAAGTAAAAAGTAAAGGTATCCCTGTAACAGGCCGTGGAGGCCCATAGGGTTGTGAGATGTTGAGGTTCCCACATTTTCTAGACAATCAGCTCATTGATGGCGGTGAGGTCAGCCTACGCGACAGCCACCCTTTACACCCAAGAATATTCCTGGTACTCATTTCTGTTAGAGGCTGAGTCGACCCCAGGACCATAGTGCGGCTGGAAGGAGATAATAATATTAAAATTGATCTTAAAAAAATAAATTGTGATGATGTGGACTGGATTGATATAGCTTAAGGTAGAGTCCAGTGATGGGAAGTAGGGATGTTATAATTGTGCCCTTAATTATATGTTTGTTTTCAAAATGATGATTTCATTACTAAATTAATGATTCCATTTCTAAATTGATGAGTTCTGTTTGAAGACAAAATTAATCTTAGCAGTAGTTTCACTTAATTAGAGTGCTGAAATTGATATGAAATGAGAGACATGAAAAAATCCATGTGGACAGAATTATATAATCTCTTTTCATACTTGTGAAAGTTTTTTGTTTTAAGCTTATTACCCAGAAGCACAAAAATACTTGTCAAATAAGTCAAGGATAAAGGGAAATTTATTGGTGTTAGGTCTTCTTAACCAATTTTTTTGTGTTGACTTTTGTGTCCACGTAATATGTACAAAGTTTATGTGTTTCTCAGGTTATCAGCTGGATTCGTAATGGTGAAGCAATGCTTACAGCGAGCTTTGCCATCCCAAGCTGTCTGCAGGATGCAGAACAACTTAAGAAGGAGCATGAACAGTTCCAGGTTGCAATTGAGGTAATGCATAATGATAATTATTGTGTAAGCTATACATATGCTCTGTGTCTGAGACTGATGAATGAAATTTGGAATACTGTTGCCATATCTAGAGATATAGTAAGTTTGTATTTTTATTCACGTGCCCATCCATCTCTTTCTTGCATGAAAAGTTATTCTTACTGTGACAAATTGTTGGTAGCACAAGTACTTTTCAGTTAGCAAAAATTATTACCCTTGTTCAACAACAATGTAGAGTAAGTTATGTGGGAATACAAAGTGTGGATATAATTCTAAATAGTTTTCCATTGAAATCTGATTATGAGTGAAAGCTGTCCTCTCCCCTCCCCTCCCATGAGAACGATTCAATATAAGTAGCCTGGGATCCACCTCCTGGTCAAAATCCTCAGAAAAATGACAGTCTCTCAGGAGTGTGCACTACGATGAATAATACTTACTCATGGAGCTGAGCCCTTCTTGAGGGGCCACCATTTCTGCAGCTACTCAAGAATTTCCTAGCATTTTATTGAACCCGAAAGTTCATCACCGTGTTCACAAGAGCCCTCCACGGTCCCTATCCTGAGCCAGATGTATCCAATCCATACCATCCCATCCTGTCTCTCTAAGATCCATTCTAATATTGTCCACCCACCTACGCCTTGGTCTTCCCTGTGGTCTCTTTCCTTCTGGCTTTTCCCCCAGTATCCTATACGCATTCCTTCTCTCCCCCATTCGTGCTACATGACCTGCCCACCTCATCCTCCTTGACTTGATCATTCCAATTATACTTGGAGAAGAGTACAAGTTATGAAGCTCCTCATTATGCAGTTTTCTCCAACCTCCTGTCACTTCATCTCTCTTTGGTCCAAATATTCTCAACACCCTGTTCTCAGACACCCTCAGTCTATGTTCCTCCCTTAATGTCAGAGATCAAGTTTCACACCCATACAGAACCACAGGCAAAATTATAGTTATGTATGTTCTAATTTTTATGTTTTTGGACAACAGATGAGAAGACAAAGGACAGCAATTAATATTTATAAGGAAACTGAATAGGAAATAATATGATAAAGAGCTGTAGGGTAATAAATTATGTGTTGAGTTGCTGAAAAGCAATATCTGCAATGTCTGTGCAATATTTATGGATGTCTTATTGCAAAACCTGACAGTGATGTATCTGATTTTCAGATTGAATTTGTTTAGAAAATAATCAGATATTAGTGCAATATACATGTTTATTAGTTCTTATTAGTTAATTCTTTGATCATAGAAAACACATACATCTGCAGTGCAGGTGAAGCACAGAGCAGAAGCACTGATCAGTGCAAACCATTATGATCCTCAAAGTGTCCGTGAAATTGCTGAGGAGGTTACAAAGAGATGGCAGCAGCTAGTAACATGTGCTGAAGAGAGGCATAAGTTGGTCACTGCTAGCTTAAATTTTTACAAGACAGCAGAGCAGGTAAGAGATGTTCATAGTGGGACTGCATCTGATTTTCCAAGAATTAAAACATACAGTACAGGAACTTATCTAGTGCCAGTCAGGCGTTTCAATGCGTCACATGTGTATTATTATGTAGAGAATTAACACTGTGTGAGAATTCACAGCACTTAAAATTTTACATTGTCCACTGTCTGAAGTATATTTAATATGTGCAGAACCTTTTATTATGTTACTGTTTAAGCACAATAGACCACTGTAGGTTGCTGTGCAAGGGCCGAGGAGGCCTACCCCTCATACATTCATTCATTCATTCATGTTACTATTTTCTAATTTTGATACTAATGTCCTTGTTTGAGATTGAACTTGCAAACATATGAATGTAAATGTGCTTACCAGGAGCACACCAGGACGGCATACAAATACAAATTTAGGATTCACTGAGTTTCAAGTTCCATCCCGATCACTATCAGCACGATGATGGCCTAACACCTAAAGACAGAATAACTAATTCACATAATGTTGTAAATATTAAATGTATCCAAAAAATAATCACGTCCAACATAATTGTGGTAAAATGAATCACTCATCACAGAGCTTCAGTAAATTGTTTCTGGAGTATGTTTTATTTCATGTTTTTATAGTTATCAGACTTGTAGCAATAACTACACTTTTTGATACAGGCATGCATGTGAAAGGAGTCAGTTAATGAATTCATGTACTGTTATATTTTAGCATCCTGTTACACTGATTTATGTCCATGATTTATTCTGACTGTCTTACAGTGCATACATTTATTCACCTTACTCTTCTCTCTTGCACTACATGTTTCAGCACTAAAGTGCCATCTTCAGTGCTGAAACATGTAGCGCAAGAGAGAAGAATAAGGTGAATAAATGTATGCATTGTAAGGCGGTCAGAATAAATCATGAATTCATGTACATTTTGGTGTTGATTCTCCCTTCTTCATGAAATTCGTTATCATTATATGAACTTTGATTGGCTGTGCTATTTCTCTTTTGCAGGTGTGTTCAGTATTGGATAGCCTTGAGCGAGAATATAAACGTGATGAAGACTGGTGCGGTGGGGGAACTCCAGCTGACAAAATGGGGGCTGTAGGAAGCAATACTTCATCTAGTGGAACGGACAGAGCAGCAGCAGTATCACAGCTTATCAACAAGCATCAGGAACAGAAGGAGGCATTTCTTAAGGCTTGCACACTGGCACGCCGCACAGCTGAGACCTTTCTCAAGTACACAGGACGAAGTCTTCAGTACTACAACTATCAAGGGGAAACTAGTACACGGAACTCTGAAAACAGAGTCAAAAGTGAGTCTGACTAAATGTGTGGCTTAGAAGGGAGTTATCTAATGCATTATGACATACATAACAGAACAGTACATTTTGTACAATAAAAATATACCAGAAATAATGTTACTATGGATGTTTCCTCATGGTAAAATTTGGTGTCTTTAAGGGCACCAATTTTATAGAAATTCTCATATGGCATTGATATGCTTATTAGACATGTTGAAAGAGTTAATTATTTTAATGTATTATGCAGATTCTTAGATGACAAAACTTTCACATCCATTTTGATTTCAATGCATTTTTTCCAAGGAGATTATGTAAGGAATGTTTTGCCTGTCCACATCACAGTTTGGTATTTGGAATCTGTAATGAAGGCTGTTGAATGACATTATTTCTGGTATATGTTAGTCTGATGTAACTTCTAATTTACATGAAGCTCAAATCATATTTAATCCATATTCTCAAAAACAGATATATATATCATAAGGGAGGCTAATATAATGTCTGTTTGAAGTATGTGGGTATAGGGAATAGTTATCCAATACAAGAATACTTCCATATTCTATGCAGTATCTTATGTATTGTGATTAGCTTTGTAACAGTAAATTTTTGTCTGCAGTACATGAACACCAAGGCCAGTGAGGTATGCAAAATTACAAGGCATGCATTTAGAATATATTTGTAGTCCATTATTAATTTTAAGAAATATTAAATTTGGATGGTTTCAGACATCCTAGAGAAGTTGTTAAGTCAGGAGAACAAGGTACTGGAGCACTGGACACAACGTAAGAAGAGGCTTGATCAGTGCCAGCAGTATGTTCTGTTTGAGCGTTCAGCCAAGCAGGCCATTGAGTGGATCCATGACACAGGGGAGATCTATCTTTCTACACACACCAATGTTGGCCAGAGCAAGGAGGAGACAGAGACATTATTGTTGGAGCACAATGTGTTTAAGGGCACTGCCAAGGTACTCCATTTCTAAGTTAATTCAGTGGGTTTGTTTGAATGTCCAGTAGAGTTTCGTGATGGTGATATATTATTCAGAAAAAAGATGGGATTGAATTAGAAATGATATACTCATATTTATATCATAATTGGAATCCAGAATATGTTAATAGACTTAGAAAATAAACAGCTGTCAGTTTTGGTCTAGTAAAAGGAGTGGCTAGAATAAGCTGGTACCAAGAAGAATAATTAGATTAATAATGTAAAGGAAGGAAATGTATAGGATGACCCCAAAGAAGATGATCAGTCAGATAAGATAATGTAAGTGAATGGCCACTGTGATTATGTGAAGGCTGTGGCAGAAGTTTTTGAGCTTTAAAAATAATTATTTCTGCCTTGTGTTACAGGAAACTCGTGAGCGAGTGAAGCTTCTGATACAGCTCGCAGACAGTCTTGTAGAGAAGGGCCATGCACATGCTAGTGCCATTAAGCAGTGGGTGGCCGCTGTGGACAACCGATACAAAGGCTTTAGTTCTCGCATGGATAAGTATCGGTGAGTGCCTTGCGTGCAACTTGACTGTTTTAATTACATTTGCAGATCTGACTCTGTGTTCCACTTCTTGCCATCTTTGTGCAACTTTATTTAATATTCACTCATCTTCTCCTCTTTACTGTATATAGCACTACATGTTTCAGCCCAACTGACCATTATCAGGTGTGTAAGTTGTTGTGATGAGGAATCTGCTGATGTAAATGCCTGGATTATCCTAGGTTATATGGGTTACTGTGCTGTTGCCATCCACAAGTGTTCTGTTTATAGTTTTGTTGGTTTTTCTTTGGTTCAGTTTGTGTTGCTGTCCTGCAATGCTTTTTTAGGAGTTGAGGCTTGCCACTGCCAAGCATCAAGCTTCTGCTCTTACAGAAGCTTTTCAGGGCAGCCACAAACTGAACCAAAGAAAAGTCAGCAAACCAACAAAACCATAAACCAAACAAATGCATGGCAACAGTACAATAACCTATATAACCTAGAACAGTCAGGCATTTACACAAAAGTGAAGCAGAACAGCATCACAGCAGAGCATCAGATTCCTTGATCACAACAACTTACACACCTGATAATGGTCAGTTGGGCCGAAACATGTAGTGGTATACAGTAAAGAGGAGAAGATGAATGAATATTAACCCGTTGCCGTGGTTCGTCGTGTATGTTTCGTCAGGGATTTAAATCGTCTGGGGGGGTTCGACGTGTATGTTTCGTCCAGCTGCACACGTATGTTATAACGCCCATAATAATTGATGGTTTTGCTGTAGATTGTTAGATTTTTCACTGGCCTGTTGTCAGGAGGACTGTATTTAATGACACACGCGTTTAAGAGCGCTAAGTCGTCGTTACATATGCCTGTCTTGCAGCAACGTTCCTGTGG